TGCATAATCGAAATATTATTATAATATAAAATATTATTATAATATGAATATTATTATAATATAAAAATTATAAATTGTTATCATTTATTATTCTTTATCATTCATCGGTAAATGTGTTGTTAAAAATATCGCTCACTCTAGGGTAACCTTTAGTCACATATCATACCGTCAAAATTGTGCTACATATTATATTAACATATTTTATTAACTAATAGCGGTATATAACTAGTAGTGGTACATAATGACATTATATATATTTAATATACTCTAAAAGAATGGCACGAAGTAATTAATTTCACAATTTTTTGCATTTTTCTTATTTTTGAAGTGAGGCAATAACTAGATTTGTGATTGAAACAAGCGTAATTTTACAACTTTACAACTTTGGTAAAGTATTTTTTTGTCAATAGTCCAGGAAATGTTTTCAGAATTTCTGAAAGGTTCTGAAAAAAAAAACTACGGTTGTATATAATAATTGTCAACATTTGCACTACCAGAATCTGCGATATTCGTTTTGCGCTTTTTATAAAATAACTGACCTTTTTTATATCTGTATAACACGTTCTACCGAACTTTATATGAAGTTTCGAGAGAATCAGAAAATAAAAACATTCAATTAAATAATCCTAAAATTCAATTAAAAACTTCTCCAAAATGATATAAATTCTTTTATTCTAGAATATCGTGGAAGAAAAAATGTTGCACCCTTTAGAAGAAACTATTCGCGAGAAAATGAAGTTATTTTGTATTTATCTAAAAAAAAAGGTGAGGTAAATATCGAATCACAAGCAGTTACTTTTCCGCTTCGAAAGGACACCTCATGTATACAAAAAAGTCGTTTTTATCAAGGTTCAGAGTTTTGGCCAAAAGTTTTCACTTTTAAATCGCTGTCACAGTGGTAGGAATTCCTCTCGGGTTCCGTCGTACTTTCGTCGTCTACTTTTGCCCGCGGTCTTCATTATTTAACGCACGCTTTTCTGTCACGCTTATAGTCCTCCGTTTATTCCTACCTCATGCAGGTGAGGATCGACCGCTCTTTCGCTGGCGAGAGTCACACACGTGTTTCGCGCCGTAGCCTGTATAATCGGCTACTCATAACTGTACACGTGCATACATACCGTATCACAGCCGTATCATAGCCGTGCCTTAGGTAGTTCCTTTCCGAAATTTTACTCCGCGCGGTGAGCAAGATTAATTACTAGTATTGCTCTTTATCTCCGTCGGGGGTCGCGTCGATTACAGCCGGCCGGTTGATTAATCGACCTGGAAGCCGAGAAGCGCATGCAGCTTTCCAGTTAATAACTTTCGTGGATTCTTCGCGGTGTCCGTTGCCTGCGAGGCTACCTGCGATTTTCCTGCCTGTCCGTCCGCGTCGCGCCTCCCCCGCATTGATTAATTGGCGTCCAACAGGTATGACGACGACGGCCGATCGGCTGTAAACGTTTGCGAGGTTGTCGCGCCGCATATTCCCTCTTGCTCGCATACTCGTCTCTCGATCGATATGAGAGAACCGGACGCGAGTTTTTAGCGCGTCCGATCATCATTGAAGCGACCGTGGTGCGAAAATGGCAACGCCATTCGAATTTGCGCGAGGACACGAGCGCTCCGTGTTGTCCCCCCCCCCCTTTTTTTTATCCCCCTCGACGGTGGCAGGATTTGAATAACACACGCGCGACAACCGAGTACGTGTCGTTTTTCCTCTCTCACAGTCATTTTTCGAGCCAGCTTTTTCGTGCACAGCGCGATGATTCGGTCCCCATCGTGTAAACGCGTCGGGTTACTACGCGCGCACGCGGGAATATTCATCGTTCGGTCGTTACGTTGCGTAACGATGCATGCACCGCGGACACACTTTGGAAATCATTGAAATACGAAGGAACGAAGCGTTTCTCCCTCGAAACGCGAAGCTCTTCGACACAACGCCGTAACAGTTTCGCAAGCCGCAACGATCTTCCCCTTCTTCCTTTTGCGAGCGATCGACTCGCCGGGACCGACTCGAGCCGATCTCGTTCGGACGCACAACGTAATTCACGTGTACATGTATCTCTCTCTCTAACATGATGTGTTTGTATATTCTGTATATCATGAACGTGTCGTGACATTCTTGTGAAACGTCCCGTAGAAAGTGTTCCCTCCTGCGGTAAGGTAAGAATCAATAATGTACAGATCGTCTCTCTTTAATCCCCGACTTCGTTCTGTCTGATAATGAACGTCTTGTATTCTCGTCAGTGGCAGTGCATACACAGGATTTATATATATATTGTATTGTTCATAATATAACACGCACACACTTATCTCCAGAGCACCTTGTATAAATGTATATATATATATATATTGATTTATGTGTACGTTGATTAATCGATCTCTCTTTCTCTCTTTCCTCTCTTTCTCTCTCTTTGACTCTCTCTCTCTCTCTCTCTCTCTTAGACTTTCATAAACGATCTTCGAATATTGTAACGAGAGAGCAGTTGTGCATCGGGACGCAACACGATGTCGCGATGTCTTTTCATGGCTGTGAGCACAGCCGTTGCTGCGCTCGGCAATTCGGCGGAGAATGATTGCGCGGAAAATTGCGTCGTCCGCGCTTATTAGCTTTTCCGCTTTCCCTGATCGGCGGAAAACAGTGCGATTCGCTCGAGCGCTCGCACGCGGATTATTTGACTAGTTCGAGGGGGAGGAAGGGGCGGGGGAAGGGGAAGCACGCGATGTGACGGCGTCGATGTTTGCGACGAGTTAATTCGTTCTCGTCGATGATGCGCTTGGCGTGTGCGTCACTTCGTCGATTTGCAGGCTTTTCCGAGGTTGTTGGATCGAAACGCCGTGAAGACACGGCCGACGGTATGATATTCTTCGAAAATCGGCGAAATCGAATTTCATTGGACGCGTACTCGCGAGATTAAACACCGGAGCATCGCACGTGTAGATTCTTACGCTTCGCGCTAAGATTGATGATTCACGGTGGGCGTGTTAATTGGAAAACGCAAGAGTTGGTACGGGGACGAGAGAGAGTGTAACTTACGGATACATTCTGTATTCCGTAATAATATTTACCTCTTAACGATTAGAATGAGAAACACGGTACAAAGTTGAGAAATTTTTCTCCCGTGGGGCGCACGTAAATTTCCAATGAAAGATTTCCAACCGTCTGCTGCTAATTAGGAGACGGTGATATCGATATATACAGGGGAGGAAGTGTATTTCGGGTGATAACCGTTTCCGAATTTGATTCGGGCAAAGGTACGCAAAATGATTGCGTACATTAACACTCAGGGAGTCGAGGAGTCATCGCGAATATAAATATCTTCGCGCAATCTCATCCGGATAGAAGTGACACCCTCTCTCCGTACAAATTCGATACTAGCTAAATTTAACGTGTCTCGCATAAGATCGATAGCGATATTTTGTAATTCAACGTATCAGTGTTATTTTCAGTAGTCCCGTCATGGCTGAATAGCAAAGAAAGAATGGAGGAAGGAATTGTGTGAAAGGGTCACGGTGCAACGGGGTAGTGATTAGGGAGCGTAGTTTTGTAAAAAGGAAACAATGATAGATCTCTCTGTTGAAGCTTTATTTTTACAGCCTCATCATATATTCACCCACCCACGCTCGCGTTCACGGACGCATATATAGACACACAAACATATATACATACATCCATATATAGATCGATAGATCGCGGTGGTAGACGAAACTCTTTAGGGGAAGGCCAGTAGAAAGCATTAGCGTAGGCGTGCCTAGCGTGCAACAATGTAGTGTGTGCTTGTGGTTGTGGATTTCAGCAGGCGTACAGTCAATACATCCCGGCTACAAGAGCCCAAGAGTCTGGGGCCCAGGGTGGGCAGACGGGGGTCGCCATGGACGGCACTTACCTCGTCGAGGCCTCGTTCTGAAAAGGCCCCTCGCGCACTGCAAATTGACCTTAAAAAAACGAAACCGAATTGGATCGAGAGCCAAGAGGGAGAGAGAGAGAGAGAGAGAGAGAGGGGGAGAAAAGAAACAGAATAAAACAGAGCGTGTGAAACCGAATCGAGAAAACGCGATGCCGTGTTGCGCGAGAATTTATTAAAATTAGAAACCGTGAGAAGACGCGTCTCGAAGTGGAAGGAAGGATAAATAAGTAAACGCGAACGCACACGCGTGTAACGCGCTAGAGAGATCCGGAGCTTTGCGAACACACGAGGGCCAAGACACACTCGTCTGTCGACGTAAAGCGGATATAATCTAGAGTAACCGAGAGAGAAAGAGAGAGAGAGAGAGAGAGAAAGAGGGAGAAAAGGGAGAGAGAAAAGTGAAGGTAACAGATATACATATATGTGCGCTTGTATATAAGTACTTATGCACGTGTCTGGCAGAGAGAACGAAAGAGAGAGGAAGAACAGTGGCCAATCGAATAAGTGAGAGATAGAGAGATAAAGTATGAGAGTAAAAAAAAAAAATATATATATATATAGAGAGAGAGAGAGCGAAAAAAAATATATAAAATATGTACATATGTATCGACTCGCCGACCGTTTGCGTCCTAAGAAAACTACCAAAAAAATAACCCACAAACAACACAAGCAAAGACACACACAGTTGCGCAAAATCCACAAAGTCAATCAATCAAATTCTTCTATTTCATCATTTCCGTGCCACCTCCGACCCCCGACGACGACGACGACGACGACGACGATCATGACGCTGCCGATTGGACCCAATATCACTACGACCCAACATCACCACCGACGACCCGACGATACTTCGGCGCCGCTGCCACCGCTGTCGCCGTCGCCGTGTCGCCGTCATCGTCATCCTTACCTCCTCTTCGTCATCGCCTTTGTCGGAACGGACAACAACGACGATGTCGACGACGAAAACGACTCGAATACGAAAATACGAAAAAAACAAACAAATCTCACACGCATGCACATGCGGCGACAAATAACGCAATCGTCGCTTTACACACCGGCCCTGATCGATCGATCGATTCGATCGCGAACGCTCGATCGAAAATCACGTAGAGCCTGTCCTATCAACTAACTTCGAACGAGAGCAAGGACAGAGTGGTGCTCATATACGGCGACCGTATACAGGTGCGAAAAAAGGTAAAGAAACTGTGTTGTGCTCGACCGACTGAAATTGTGAAAACGATGATGAGGATGATGATGATAATGCTGATGATAATGATGATGATGATGATTATGATGATGATGATTATGATGATGATAATGGTGATAATGATGATAATGCTGATGCTGCTGCTGATGATTATGGAGATGTGTGATGAGATATATATATACATATATATATATATATATTATATATATATACGTACATTTTGATAGATTTATGTGTGATGAAGCTATATGGATTGTTCGGTCGCCGCGCTTCAGCGTCCTCAGCCATAAAGCGAGAAATACTGCAAAATCTCCCCTCAGCAACCCTTCAGTCTGTCCCTTCCGATGCCCGATAATAGCGATGGAATCCTGGATTGGCTTGTTCGGTGTCCGCTTTCGCCCTCGAAAGAGATCCTCCTTTTCCGCCACGCTTATAGGGGCACTCTTGCATCCACCGGAGGTCTCGTCTCGAGACCGTGCATTTAATATACATTATACTGTCTAGTGTTCAGTTTGCTTCTTCTGGTTATGGATGTATGGCTGTGCCTTGCTTCCGGGGAGGTGGTCGGAGATGCTTTCAGAGATGTTGCGGGCGCTTTTAGGGGTTGATGGTTTCTCGCGTCTACGTGAACATCGTCTTGAATCTTTTATCGCGCGTAATTCAATATAAGAACAAATGTAACGTCGGAAAAATCATGTACATGATGGGTTTGCGGATATTTCAAATGCACAACAGCTACGAGATTAGCGAAAATCTCAATTGTTAAATTCGCATTTTAGCGAGATTTTCCTTACGATAATTTTAATTTTAATTTAAGCAGGGTATATTTGATGATATGTCGTTAATCGAACTTTAACGAAGGTGCGAATTAATTATCACAGTAGAATTTCTCCCTCGTTCTTCGAAACGCGGGCCTGCTTAATTAATTTTCGATTTGCCGCGCGTTGACGATATTCTCCTTCTTTCCGCCGACTCTTTCATTAAACCCTTTCATTATGCCCGCGAAGCTGGAAAACTTTTTTGCAAGGTGAAGACTTATCGGAGGAAAGTTCGGGGAAACTTTTCGTTTTAACGTATGGGTGAAAAGTCGATTCCTTATTTATTAGCAAAACATTTATCTTGTTCAATATTTAAACATACTGGTGCACAATTTCGAATTAATTAATATTGATGATGTTAATGCGCACACACACACACATGCATACATACACACACATATATATATATATATACATATATACATATAGTCATGGACAGAAAGGAAGTTGTCGCATTCCCTAGGTATACTAATATTAGAAATTTCGAATTATTAATTATTATCGTAATTAATATAATTTTTTAATATTCGTGCATCATAACTGCTGCTTTGGAGCATCTTTGTCAGTTTACTGAATAATCAGCAGTTACAATGCACGAATACTCAGAAATGGTACTCTAAATTCGAAAGGGAATGCGACAATCTATTTGTCCACAACTGTACACATACGTACACACCTACATACATGCATATATACATATGTATATACATGTATATATATACATGTGTGTGTGTGTGTGTGTGTGTGTGTGTGTGTGTGTGTGTGTGTGTGTGCACACACAAATCAGTATGGTATAACTTGATAAATTGCGTCACATGTGACATCTTTGTTCAAATATTCACGCGTTTCCCTCTGCAAATATGATCTCAAACTGAAATTTTTATCTCGCGCATGTGAACGCTACAGTTATTAATTTAAACAAAGTGAAATATCGGAGAGACATCGCACCGTTAGTTTCTGATGGGACGGATATTTCCGCCGAAAATATTCGCCACGAAATTTGCGGCGTTTCACCGTCCTCCCCGTTCCCATGTTGTGAAGCCCGTCAAATTTTAGTAATCCGATCTCGCCGGTGAATGTGAAAATTGACGACCGAGATCAGCGTTATGATACGCCGGCTTTGCGCTTTTCTTTTTTACAACACGACGCTTTATCCCCATGCAATCCCCGCGCGACATCGTCCCCATCACTATCGTAACCTGCAGCGCAACTTATCCCCGCCTTCGACACGCGTCTCTTTTTGTTAAAATTTCGGGCGTGAAACACACGCGAGAGGCATCCAAATGAGGAAGAGGAAAAATCGCGAAAAGAAAAATTGCGTCGTTTCTTTTTGAAATCGTCCTCAAAATATTATCCTATATAATTTTCAGCCGTTCCATCCGTCCCTTTTGTAACATTTGCCCGTTCGGTTTGTGGATAATTTAGCGCATCCCGTGGGCGGCGTGAAAATCGACATCGCGATATCTTTCAGCGTCATCCCTCAGGCGTTCTTTCAACGTTCAATTTTTGGGGGAGCGTAATTTTCTTTCCCGGAAGTACGTCGATTCTCCGAAAATGGGGCGCATCTTTCATCATTCTGTCGTTTGGGGGGTGAAAGGATAAACATCTTTCACGGCTCAACTTGTCATTATCCTTCCTAAATAGATAAATTCATCGACGAACCTCGGGGATGAGCTTGTCGAGTTAAGATTTCCGCGAAACGAGATCTTATATCGAAGTATCCTGCATTGCGACGTGAAGCTTCATTAGCGTCTTGTTTTCGTGAGATTAAATTTTGCGCTTCTATCGATTCCATAATTATAAGAAGATATCTCGTGATATTTTGTTAATTAAGAACACGGACAAAGTCAAGGCAGTGCGCGAAGAATCTTGGATGTGCCATTTACCGAATATTACACGCGTCATCTGCTTTCAAATTGCGGATTAATGTTGGTCCCACTTTCGTGGTATCGATATTTCTGCCGACACGTGGATAAATACGTAGACCACCGGCTGCGCCCTCGCTTTCCCACGGGCTGCCCGTGTTTTTTTCTCTTTGGCTAAATAGAAATTCGCAACGGTCGCGGAGGATTCGAAGGGAGGTTGGACATAAAGGACCGTAAAGGAAAATACCAGCCGCGGAATAGGCCGTTAGATCCTCCCGTTTTTCTCTTTATCCCCCCTCCCCTTCCCTCCTATCTCTTTTTCTTCTTGCAGTTTCACGACAGATCTTTAAAAGTGTCGACGATTGAAACATTAGTTTCGTACTCCCTTTCGAGATTTTACGCTCTGAAAAGTACCTTCGCTGTCGAAACGAACGCTCGTTTTCCTCTCACTCCTTGTTCTTTTTTTTCCCTCTTTCTCTCTCACTCGCCTTTACGACATACTTTACACGCGCTCGGCGAAAATATTTTTTCAAACGTTCCGCGAACAAACGACGGAAGATGACAACACGATGTTGTCGCAGCATTTGCATTCCCGGCAAATCGGCCCGCTTGTCCCATCCGTAACCCGCCGCTCTTCTTCCCTTCCCCTTTCTCTCTCTCTCCCTCTCTCTTTCTCTCTCTCCCTCTTTCTCTCTCTGTCGCTCGAGTTTATTATTTTACCAACAAATTTGCTCTACACGAATAAATTCCCGACCTCTGAACGATAGGATTTCTCGTTGTGTAGATTTTTACAAATGGAGTCGTACTATCATATATGCACGTGCAATCCCGTACATCCGTCCAATTGTACGGAAAAAATTGCGTCCAGAGAGGGGCGGGAGGGAAGTAACTCCACAATTCTGTTTGTTTCTCGTAAAATCGCGCAATTTTAGAAAAAGGCTGCTTTTTCAATCCTCGCGCATTCTACCGCTCCCCGTCGTCGCAATCTGTCGCATTAAAATTGCATTTGGACTTGTCGCGTAACGAACGGAACTGCACAACCGGCTGTTTCGCCTCGCTTTGCGGTACAGCTGGCGTTTAATTCGGAGTAATTAAGGGTCGCCCTAGCGACTATCAAAGACCGCGTCCGTCTCGCCGCTCGCGTTACCGCGCGCGTTTTTCTAAAACGCACATTTCACGGGAGAAACGAGCGGTCGTATTCGCGATTTTCAATCGACGCGCCGCGGCTGGCCCTCTTTTCGTCCGTTCTTGTCCCGTCGTCGTATCACAGAATCGCCCGGCGCGCGTGTACACGTGATCAAATAAATAGGTAAATAAATAAATAAGCCGGCAGAGAGTAAACCGTACGAAGTAACATCTCGTGCGACGTGGTGTGCGGCGAGCTGGAATGAGAATTCAACAAACCGGACGGAGCATTTGCATCGCTCCGCGACGGTGGCGTAATTAGACGTACGAGGCGTAATTAGATGTTACGAAAGTAACTATCAAAGGCTGCGCAGAGACCGCGCATTTATTTCGGCGGGACTTACCATCGTGGAGCTGCGTGTTAGTCGAATCCTCGTAAATGTGTAATAAATCTCGCATAAAGCTACGTAGAACCCGGCCGCCGTCGAATACGGCGAATAAATTTAAACCGGCGAAACCGATTTTACGTGTGTATATTCGCGCCATCGGAATCGCGAATGCTCGCGAAGGTGCGACGTGAAATTTGCTTTAAATTCTCCGCGCGTTCATCCGGCGGATCTACTTTATTCCGGCCGTCAATTTCCGCCTTTTACGATTCTCTCCGCTCGATGATACGAAAATTGAATTGCCCGCGGATTTTCGTCTTATCATCTTTTCTCTTTGCGACTGCCGAAAGACACAATTTTCGTCAACGACTAGAGAAACATCGCCGAGTAAATCATGTTTTTTTTCTTAACACTTTGCTGTACGTGTTTCGTATGAAGTTGTCGCGTTCTCTGATTCGAGCAAACGATTCATACACACTTGACTTCGATACGGTTTGTACTCTTCTTTCTCTATGTAATTCGGAATGCAGCCGATGGTCCAATGAGAGAGAGAGAGAGAGAGAGAGTTATTTTAAAAAATTCCCAAAATATAAATCGTCTCTTTGGGCCACCGGCTGCGCTCCGGACCGCATCGAGAAAGAAATGTTCAAACCGCTTTGAAATCAAGCGTACTGTTTAATTATTAACTGTACGGAAATGAAGGGAGCTTAATCGAGTATCTCATATATTTATAATCGGTTTCCCCCGGGTGTCGGGATGCAAAGCATCGTTCGTTCCGTCGCGTTTTAATATT